TCGCAAAGCTCCTGGATCGTGCAGCTTGGATTCAAATCCAGCTGTTGCTGGAGCCACTGAATATGCTGTTCGCYGAGAACAGGAAACACATTCCCTCCTCTCCTCTTGGTCGTCTCTGAGCCATAAGCCTCGAACGCGATAACGATGTTGTGCACAGTACTGCGTGGAAAGCCATAGCGTACTGCAGTCTCTGCAATCGTTTTGCCCTCAACGAAGATAGACTCGATGATCTTTCGCCTCTGAACATCGTCAATGCGGTTGTCCCTGCCTCTCCTGCCTCTAGCGGGCATACTGTATTGGGCACGTGAACGCACAAGGCACGCGAACGCACAATCGTGACCGCACAAGGCCAGTGGTTCGATGCTCGACGGAAGTGAATGCACGGTGATGGATGCAGGTAGCACACGTGAGCGATACACGAGTTTCTGTGGGGCCCACCAATTTATGCGCTCGTCAGTCTAAATCGTTCAGTCCTTTGACGAAGGGCACAGTGGGTCTGTCCAAGTTTCTAGAATACCTGTCCATATCGGTTTACACGATGTCCAATTTAGAACTACCGGTCCAAGAAGCTTCTACAAGAATCTAAAACGCTTCGACTACATGGCAGATTCCAATTCTACTGGTTCAAGAAGCTTCCACAAAATTCCAAATCGGTTCGCCGTTTCTCCAACTTCGACGGGTTCACCTAATTTGATAAAAAAAAATATCCAATTTCAATCTGCCGGTCCAAGAAGCTTCTTGAAATTCCAAATCGGTTCGTCGTTGCTCTAACTTCTACGCGTTCACCTAATTCGATAAAAAAAAACTCCAATACGGTATTGTTTTGGGCGGGGACCTGGTAGGGCCTGCCCATTTCGGTTCACGATATGTCCAAATAGCGGCAGTATGTATCTAACTTACCTGGTCAAAGGAGTAAATACAGAAGGAATCTGGAAGTAGTGATGTTAACCTAGCATCTACGGCAAAGAAACTTTGTCATTCCCCTCTGTCTCACCGATTGCTGGCTAAAGCCTATAAAAAAAAGTCAAACAACACGCAAATATTATGTGTGCTCATGTTGAGGCCCGATTTCTGGGAACCCTAGGACAGGACTCGAGACTCATGTATGGGTTCAGGGTCGTGGATGACCTCACTTTGACCATAGGATATGTCCATGTTTAGGAGAAATCGCTTATGAAGGCCATGGGCATTGTGGAGGCGGTCGGGAAACAGTACGATCCTGCCATCAAGATTATTAGGAAGAACGATGGGTCTGGGGCTTGGCACTTTGCCGGCTACAGGATTGTACTGGGAACACCTTGTACTGGGTAATGGTCATGGCTACTCTAAGAAAACCAGGAGAGCCTGAGGGATTCTGGGGATCTGCATTTTCAATCTTTACAGGATTTCGACTCCTCACCTACCAATGTGAAGAAAGGCATGACGACAGGGATGATAGATAGCAAGAATTTAGAAGACATCTCCGAATCCTGTATTGGTGTTGGCACCAGTGATGGCTTTCACAAAAGAACTGCGTCTCATGGGTTTATCCTCCTCGGTTTTCTATTACGGCACTATTACACTTTGCGAAAAACAGATCTGAACTGTGGGGTACAATAGCAAAAGAACTCACTGAGGCTCTCAGAAAGAGGACCCAAGAAAGAGACGACCATGGGTAGGCATAGTTCCAGAACCGCACCTGCGGCTGACCTCGACCTTCGCCCTAATTTGGGACGTAATGTTGTTCTACCATTTTGGGCAGTAGTAAATGCAGGTTCGGGTGCTCTGGCCCCGCTACGGCTCGATATGGAACACGCGGCGTATCAGACAGGCATACGTACGTGACAGCCCTGGGATAGGGTGTTGCAAGGAGTCGGGCAGGCTCTCGGGAGGGAAGACCAAAGAGAGGTGGTGCCTGTCCCCTGAACCTCCTGTTGTGAAACACTCCGACCTTCCAAGCCCTGGTATAGTAGCAATGTATCTCTGCTCTAGGTAGTTTTAGTCAATAGTGATGCGGGAACCGCAGTATTGAGGCACACTACGGCTCGGAATGGAACGTCCTGATATTCTTTTTTATTTATTTGTTAATTTGATTTATTTATTTATTTTTTTTTAGACAGGTCCTTATGGCCCGGGCTCCATTTCCATTCTGGGGAGCATCAGTCCGGTTCCTTTTCCACCGGCAAGTCAGAATAAAATATTACATCATGAAAAACACTCACGCTTCCTTCCGTCTGGCCAAAGGAACCCTGACCAGCATTGATTAGTCCTTCATAATGGAGGATTGACTGTCAGCTTGCCTTACTTCCCCCTTTCCTCTCAGGTCCATTGCCCAAACCTGTCGGATGACTAATAAAGAGCAAGAAAGGTAAGAGAAGCTACGGAAGTTACAGTCCCGGAATTTGCCCTTCAATATTATGTGACCTGTGATGGATCTTGTCCTCCTGCTGGCTGGAATCTCTGTCTTCTCCACCCTGCTTCTGAGTTGTGCCAGTCTTTCCATCGTATGTGAGAGACATATATTTCTGCCACTTTGCCCCTTGCAAGCCACACCTTAGTAAACTTCGTCTTGATTCTTCTCTGCTGCTCTTCATCATCTGGCAGGGACTGTCTCGTCTTGTGCCATTTACAAAGGATCTCTGCCTGAATCGAAGTCCTTGTCTCCGCCCAAACCTTCTCCCTTGGAGTTGAGAGTCCCTCAATGGTTCTACAGCACCTTTCCTTCCAGATGGACCAAAGCGTTACCTTTCTGATCATTCCAAACCATGTTTTCTCTGTCTTGTCGAATTGAGCTGGGATGTTAGTCCATAAGAGGAGTTGGATTGGGTGTTCAGGGAGGGGAGTCGAGAAGAGGGAGTCCCAGAGATCCTCGGTCGCCTCTCTACATCGTATCAGGCAATGTAGCATATCTTCTGGTTCATTTTCTGAACACAGCGCGTATAAATCTGAATTGTTAGGGTCATTCTTGCTTCTTCTGATGTGTAGCCACTGGTTAACCGGTAGAGCTCGTATGAGCTGAGCCATTGGAGGCTTCTCATTTTGACTGGACGAATTGACTTGAATTTTTTCCATGGTATTTGTGATATCTGATTAGCATCCTGACCCATTAACTTCTGCCATCTGTTCTTGATCGTAGGGTCAGGATCCTTTGTTTTGAGGAGTAGGTTGTAACCCAGTTTGACTGTGTATTCTTGAATGGCAACATTAGTTTTGAGGTTTCTAGTTCTGTCTGGTGTCCAAGCCCACTCTGCTGGATCAAATTCCAAGTCTTGAATCACCGTATCCATTCTGAAGATTGTTTTGGCCATGACCTCGATACTCTGACTTTTCTGAGTACAAAAGGGCTTAGGATTGTTCTTTCCACCTCTTTATTCAGGATAGATGGAGGGCGTCTGGATATTCAATTTGGGAGACACCACGAAAATTCCCAGGAATCACCCTGGCCGAACCCTGCCCGAATCTTTAGGAAACGTTTGAGGACCCGAACTGTGTTCTGAACGAGCCGCTAACTCAGGAACTGTATTAAGTTGGTAGGTCATTGGTAGGATCCCTCTGCGTCGCTGGCGTGCCCCTTCCATGGAACGAAATATATGTAACGGATGTCCTTCGGGACATCCGTTAAAATT